TGCAGTTGCCATGGTAACCAAGAAAAACCAACACACACACACCATTTATACATCACTTCAGGGGACATTACATTGACTTACATGCATTTCCTGGAGACTTATCCTAACCTTAACCAACACATGCCTAACCCTAAAATTAATGACTCCCTTATGAGGCTGAAGTGGCGCAGCTGGAGTACAAACTGTCGTCCGGCGAACACGGCCTGGTCATCAAGGTTAAAGGATTCAACCACAAACTGCCTGTGAGTGAATGCAGCTGGACAAACCACACACACACACACACACACACACACACACACACACACACACACACACACACACACACACACACACACACACACACACACACACACACACACACACACACACACACACCTTTAGGAATTTTGAATTTGTCGTCCTTCTTGTACCACAGGCAGCCCCTGTCGCTCTCGGCTATCCGGACAGGAAACTCAGTGTCTGGGCGGTCAGACGGCTTCAGGGTGAAGTCAGTGGCTGTACAAATACACAAACAATAAAACATCATAATCCAGCTCGGTGAAGTCTCATAAATAATGTGTGAGTTCAACAATTCAACACGTCCACTTTGGGATAAACATGCAGCTGGATGTCAAAACTGTACAACGATGTCCCCACATCAATAAATGATTCAGTAACCCTGGGGCTAATGAGTGAACATGCATAATTTCTCCACATTTGATCAGAATTGGCAATGTGCTGTGGCCGTACACAATGTAGAAACAGAGCACAATGCCAACATATATCGGCTCTTACATTTTTGGCCAGGATTTGACCAAAGGTGCCTTGTTTGAGCCGAAATGATGACCCCCTAAAATATAACATGTCTCGACAGACTGGATTTAAATTACATGAGGAACAGCAAGTTCACCATGACAGAATATATTGACCCAATAGAGAGAGAATGGGAGGGATGAAACCCTCTTTAATGGTCACACATGCAGAGTACACAGCACACACAGTGACATGTGTTCTCTGCTTTTAACCCATCCTAGTACCAGGAGATGTTCTTCCAAGTTTGGTGACTATATCTTCTTATTTTTTTCAGATTTGACTCCACTACATTTACATAAAATGTGTCTTTGGCACTGGCAAATAAAACAGCACTCACCATGCACAGAACAACATACAATTCACACAAAAAGAAGGAAATTGCCTCTTAAAGTGACTAATGGTTATAATAATAAAAGTGCTGAGTGGTTTGCTCTTCCACTCGCTTAGGGTCCATTAAAATATCAGTTGTATTAAAAATAAAAAATGTAACGTACAATAAAATGAGGTGATGGTGGTAGAATGTCCTCAGAAGGATCCATGAGGCTTCGATAGGGGGCTCAAGGTGTGCGTTTGAGTGTGTGTGTGTGTGTGTGTGTGTGTGTGTGTGTGTGTGTGTGTGTGTGTTGGGCAAGCAAAGCACAAACTGAAGTATCAATTCTTCTTCATGATCATCTAATTGGACACTTTTTCAGATATTCACAGCAGTTTTGGGGCACAACAACTCCCCCCCCCTCCCTCCCGTAGTGCTGAGAGTTGATCACTCACCAATGAACTTGTTTTCGACAGGAAGTGAGAGTTCACTGCTGAGCTCCAGGTTTCCGGTCCACCGATCCATCCACTCCTGCTGGACGTCTGTGTGTGCGAAGGGAAAAATAATACAATAAAAATAAATATGATATGAAGTTCACATTCATGTTTGGAATTGAGTGACCTTAACATTTGATTCCAACTCAAATGAAATATTGGTTTTTATTTATTTATTGAAGCGCTGTCCCAACACTATTGTTCGCCAGCTAAAAGACAGAGATAAATGTTGGCATTTCTGCTGCCGGCTGGCCTGAATATCACCACACAGGGGGAAAAAGACAATGTATTCACTGAATGCCTACGTTGTGGGAAGGAGCTGTTACATCGACAGTAGACAAACACACACACACACACACACACACACACACACACACAGAAACACACCCTCCACGTTGTATTGAGTGCCAAACCACTTCTCCCGGAGGGGACAATGGC